AAGCATTGATACTCTTTCTATCTGAAAGTATATGACTTTCAATCTCATTAATAAGAGATAAGACCGAGGAAGCATATTATAGAAAAAAAAAGATCGCACCTCTTGACCAATTTGAGTGGACAATCATCTATTAAACATAAGTCTAGAACAAATATCACTGCACCATCACCATAAAAAATATAAAAAATTATGATGGCTTATACTTGTTCTCCTTTTATCTCATGCCCTTTTATTAAGGAAGTTATCGATATTCATATAAGTAAAGATACACATATGTATATTTGCCTTTTTGTAGATTGACTTTGGGATCTTTTCCTATTGTCCAAGGCAATCCAATTGTATATATACAAGCCTAAAGGCTAATGAATAACACAAGTTGATTCCATCGATATTCATCTCTTGTCATAGTATCAGAGCACTTTTGCATCAAATCACCTCTGTTCTCTCACGCAAGAAACAGAACATCCTTATCAGATACACTCTGTTTTCTCATTCAGGTTGCAGAGCTTTCTATCCGATTTAAACCTTCACGATGTCTATCACAACTACTCAAGGAGAATTGAAAAGAAAGACTATCTCACCATACGATTTGACGTCTGGTGAAAATCCTGGAGAAACCATATCTCAGCCACTTCTCAATGGTCTCAACTATGATGAATGGGCTATTAATCTTCGAATGGCTTTGAGAAGTCGAAAGAAGTTCGGTTTCATTGACGGAACCATTCCTAAACCTGAGGCTGGATCTCTTTATCTCGAAGACTAAACCTGACCAAACTGTGGGTGGTGTTGCAGAGTGCACCAACTCTAAAAGATGCAGCTGTAATAAATGTGAGTGTGATCTTAACAGTGCTCGCGACAAGGAACTTGAAGTCTTGAAGGTTCATGAGTTTCTTTCTGGTCTCGATGATGCTGTTTATGGAGTGGTACGTTCTCAGATATGTGCCATCACTCCTCTTCCCGATCTCGACACAGTCTATCAAACTATAGTTCAGAACGAAACTATAAGATCAGGCGCGATTAAAGATGCTGAAGTTATGAGTTTTGCGTCTCAAATCTCTGCATCCTCACGCTCACTTCCTCGTGATGATTCTCGTACTGGAGGATTCTCACAGAATCGTGATGCTTCTCGATTTTTCCCTGGAAATCGCAATCCTTCCCGTGTTTGCACAGGTTGTGGACGCTCAGAACATGAAGTATCAGGATGTTTCAAAATCATCGGTTATCTTGAGTGGTGTGAAGAAAAACCACGTAAGAATAAAGCTCCATCTGGATGTGGTCGTGGTTTCACACCAAAATCAAACAATGCTCAAATCATCGCTGCAAACTCAGCTTGTACGAGCTCTACTTTGCCTATTTCTTATGCTGATCGACAAGGATTAGCTGGTGTCTCAGATGCTCAGTGGCGTACTATCCAAAAGATGTTCTCTTTTGCCAATATCAGTGATCGCTTGAGTGGTAAGAATGGTAGTGTTACATGGATTTTAGACACTGGTGCTACTCATCATATGACAGGACAATCTGAATTACTTCAGGACAGTTTTCCTATCTCTCCTGTTTTTGTCAAACAACCTGCCGGTGAATTAGTTATCTCGTCACAGCGGGGAACCGTTTTTCTTACACCTTATTTGTGTTTGAAAAATGTTTATCTTGTTCCCGGCATTAATACTAATTTGATCTCTTTTGGTCAGTTGGCTACTGATAATCATGTTGTGGGAGCAATAACTGATCGTTTGTTGATAATATAGGACCGCACTACGAGGATGCTGATTGGAGTGGGTGATCGTGAGGGAGAGGGACTGTACCGCTTTCACGAGATTGAGACTGTAACATCGAATCAGACTACTGTCAAACCTGCTGATGATGAAGCTTCCGCTGACATTACTCTTTGGCATCGTCGTTTGGTCACCCTTCTTCTCGTGTACTTGGGAAAGTCCCTTGCATCAGTGGCTTATCTAGTATTAGTTTATCGCTTTTACATGATAGTTGTGATATTTTCTTCTGCGTAAAACAAACTAGACAATGTTTTCCAGATTATTTGATTAATGAAAAAGAGGCTTTTGATTTAATTCATTGCAATTTATGGGGTCCTTATCGCACACCAGCGTTTTGTGGATCTCGTTATTTTTTGACAATTGTTGATGATTGTTCTAGAGCCGTCTAGTTGTATCTTCTTCCCGACAAGACGAATGTTGCTCAACATCTGCGAAATTTTTTGTCTATGGTTACACGCCATTTTTCAAAGAAAGTCAAGACGATCTGTAGTGATAATGGTACGGAATTCATGTGTATGTCTCGGTTCTTTCAAGAGCAAGGAATCATTCATGAAACTTCCTGCGTACACACCCCACAACAGAATCGTCGCGTTGAGCGTAAACATCGCCATATTCTCAACATTGCTCGAGCTTTGCGGTTTCAAGGTAACTTACCAATTGAGTTCTGGGGAGAGTGTGTCCTTAATGCTGCGTATCTGATAAACATGACACCATCCCTGGTGCTTAAAGGGAAAATGCCATTCGAAGTATTGCACAGCAAACCACCATCTTTTAAACACTTGCGGGTGTTTGGTTGTCTCGCTTATGCACACAATCTTGATCACAAAGGCGACAAATTTGAATCAAAGAGTCGACGTTCTGTCTTTGTGGGCTATCCGTATGGAAAGAAAGGTTGGCGTTTGTATGATCTTGATAGAGAAACGTTTTTTACTTCGCGGGATGTTGTTTTCTGCGAAACAATATTTCCATTTTTGCAAGAACAACCAGAGAAACCTGTCTTACAACAGTCTGAAGAACCACCGGTTATAGGATCCATTGAGGATTCCTCTGAAGACTCGGTTCCATTAGTGACTCAACCAGTTGAGATCGACGAAGCTACTGCAAGCCCTTTACCAGAATTAGAAGCCTCTGTTTTAGACGAGTCCCCTTCAATCTCTACAAGTGAACCTCAATCTTCAGAAACTGCTCCACATGGTCGTGGACATCGTACCAAAACTGTCTCTACTCGACTTCGTTATTATTTCATTAGTACAGTCTCTCTCTCGAGCTTCCCTCCGAGTCATCTGCTCCTCAGTCTTCCTCAGCTATGCGTTATCCTCTATCTCATTATATATCTGAGGAAAGTTTTTCAGAGGGATATAGGTGTTATCTTGCTTCTATTACCTCAGCCGTGGAACCTAAATCTTTTAAAGAAGCAGTGAAGTTTGAAGAATGGAAACAAGATATGATAGCCGAGATCAATTCTCTTGAAGATAATCACACTTGGGATCTACAAGAACTTCCTCCTAACAAAACTCTTATTGGGAGTCAATGGGTGTTTCGTGTGAAATTTAAAGCTGACGGTACAATAGAGCGATGCAAGGCACGTGTTGTTGCTCTTGTGAATCATCAAAAGGAAGGTCTTGATTACAAAGACACCTTTTCACCTGTTTCTAAGATGACCACGATTCGTCTCATTCTCGACATTGCAGCCAAGAGAAATTATGAAGTTTATCAAATGGACGTCCATAATTCTTTTCTTCATGGGGATTTAGAAGAAGAGGTGTATATGAACTCCACCAGGTTTTTCTCGACCAGGTGATAACTGTGTTTGTCATCTTCGAAAATCTATTTACGGGCTTAAACAGCCACCGCGGTGTTGGTTCTCTAAACTCGCATATGCTCTTATAAAATACGGCTTCAAGCAAACAAGATCGGATTAATTCTTGTTTGTCTTTCATTTTGGTGGCATCTCTCTCCAAATATTGGTCTATGTGGATGATCTAATTATATCGGGTAATTCTCCTTCTCCAATTAAAGTATTCAAAGAGTATCTCTCTACTTGCTTTCATATGAAGGATCTGGGTATTGCAAAATATTTTCTTGGATTAGAAATTGCTCGTAGCCCTTCTGGTATTTATCTATGTCTGCGTAAGTACGCACTTGATATTGTTACAGAAACTGGTGTGTTAGGATGCAAACCAGCCGGTTCTCCCATTGATCAGAATCAAAAGCTAGCTCTCACAGACAGTCCTCTCATTGCTGATCCATTGCCATATCGTCGTTTAGTTGGTCGACTGGTCTACTTGGCCTCAACACGTCCGGATCTTGCTTACTTGATTCATGTTATATCTCAGTTTATGCAAAAACCTTGTGAAGAACATTGGCATGCTGCGTTGAAAGTGGTGCGATTTTTAAAGGGCACAATTGGTCAAGGAATTCTTTTTGCATTCTGATTGTCCTCTACATGTTACTGGATGGTGTGGCACAGATTGGGCAAGCTGTCCGCTGTCTCGACGATCTCTTACTGGCTGGATTGTTCAGTTTGGCGACTCTCCTATTTCATGGAAAACAAAGAAGCAAAAGACTGTTTCGTGTTCTTCAGCTGAAGCTGAATATATGGCTATGGCGGCAATATGTAAGGAGCTGCAGTGGATTAAATCTTTACTATACAAAATAAGAATTGATCACACTGACCCGATGACTCTCCATTGTGACAACAAAGCTGCATTGCATATTAGCTCTAATCCAGTTTTTCATGAGCGTACGAAGCATATTGAACTTGATTGTCATCGTGTACATGACTACATGTTGGATGGTACAGTCAAGGCGTCTTATATACCTACAACAGAACAACTAGCTGACATCCTTAGAAAGGCATTAGGTCGAAAGGAGTTTGATTCATTTCATCTCAAATTGAGCATTTGAAACTTACATGCTCCTGCTCCAACTTGACGGGGGGGGGGGGGNGTAAGGAAGTTATCGTTATTCATATAAGTCAGGATACACATATGTATATTTTCCTTTTTTGTAGATTTACTTTGGGATCTTTTCCTATTGTCCAAGGCAATCCGATTGTATATATACAAGCCTAAAGGCTAATAAATAACACAAGTTGATTCCATCCCATCGATATTCATCTCTAGTCACCTTCTCCATTTGAAGTGGAGGTAACTCGAGAAGAGTTTCATTCTTTCCACAAAATCGACAGACTTCTTCACTCGTCTCGTCGTGGTTCTAAAACAAGACATGAATAAATCCTCCCAAGTGATTGAGTTTCTCTTCTTGGTCGAGCAACTCGTCTTTGCACGCAACCTCATCGCATGTCTTGTCCCATTAGATGATAGGTACATGGCCAACAAAGTTGTTGAGTGTCTAAGTATCTTATGCAATCAAGATTACTACACAAGGCACGTTCGCCATAACCACAAAAACAATGATGAGGTGGTTATACCTTTGCTCAAAAAAATAACTGACAGTTATCTAACCCTCAGATACATCAACGAGAACTGCGAAACTCTTCTCGTTGGAGTGACCAAGAATTTGAGCGATGTCTGGATTCGAGCTTTCGATGATATATACGAGAAGGTCTAAAAGAAGAAACAGTTGGAGTTAGATTAGAGAGGGTGAAAGTCATCGAGGAGATGAAGAGGTTAAGGTTTGGTTCTCTACAACAAACCCGTACTAGGTTGAGTGTACAACACCAAACCCCTATATGGTGGAATGCTCAAGAACAAATTTTTATTAGGTCTAATCTTCAACAAGGAACCCTTATTAGGTCGAGAGTCCGACAGGGAACCCCTGTAAGGGTGAGTGCTCCAAAAGTAAGGGTGCCTGCTCCAGCTGTTAAAGAAGAAGCAAAGGCGGCCGGGACGGAGACGGAGAGGGCGGAGGCCGAAGAAGAGGTGACGCAAGCTGATTATAGGACACTGTTTCTGACGTTTTCCAAAGGATATTCGATTTCTGAATCGGAGGTTAGGGTTTACTTCAATAGGAAGTTTGGTGAAGTAATAGAAACCATAGTGATGGACGAAGGGAAAGAGAATAAACAGCCCTTGTTTGCGAGGATGGTGTTGAAGATGCAGTATGCCGCATACTGTATGCGTCAAAGATTGAAGAGATCGTGACTCCAATAAACAGAAAAAGTTCACTATTGATGGAAAACATGTTTGGGGTCACAAGTATGTTCGCTAGAATCTCAGTTCATCTGCTGCCCCTCCTCCTCACATATGTTTCCGTCTTTTTGAGTTTTATAAGTTGTATTTCTGCTTCTAAATTAAAAAAAAATGATTCCTCTTTTTTACTACATTGTAATTCATTAAAATGGCATGATGGATTACCTATGTTCTAATATATCTTTTGTTTTGAATGCGTGTTTTTTCTATTGGATGTTACAATTTTGAAAATATGAAGTGCAGCACCCAAGAGCAAAAAACTTTTTTTTGTCGGCTGTAAATGTTATAAGATTAAATATTTTAACTAAATGACTGATATACATTTAGAGCATTAATAAATAAATTATAATTTTCACATTAATGAAATTTATAAATTTGATAAATAAATACCACAATATCAGATATCGTAAGTTTACAAAATGAAACTTTTCCTTGACCAAAGTACATTTAGTTACGATAGAATTATAAGGTAACAAAATTTAGGTTGTACTTATTCCGTGGCATGATACTGTTTTCTCTACGATAAAAATAAATCTCAGCACAGAGGAAAAGAGCTACAAACGAACGTGAATATACAACATAGAGAAAGTGTAAGATTTTGAAATAAAAGTGCATAATATTTTTTCCGCGTATGCAGTTTGTAAGAAGATTAATAAATCAAAGATTGATTAGACGATTACCAAACTAAGGTATTCACGATCAAAGCTTAATCTTGACATTCATAGAGAAAAAGAAGAATAAACAAAATCTATCAGATGGTACTACGGAGGAAATTCTTTTCCTGTAGGAAAAACTACCCGTTAAACTACCCGTAATGTCTTTTTGTCAAGAACTACCCGTTTTAGACCAAAAAACTACCCGTTTTAGACCAAAAAACTACCCGTTAAACCCTAATTAAATCCCGTAATGTCTTTTTGTCAAGAAAAAAAACTTGTTATGTTTCCTGTTTACCAAAGAATTTTGATGAATCATATTACTGCTCTTTTATTTCAACATGTGCAAACCAATTAAAAAAAATTAAAACCTTTTATCAATACTTTAGCTTTAGTTTCATATATGGCAATTTGACTTTTGATTAATGGGCTACAGATGTTCGGTACAGCTTGTGATAGCGTTTGAACCATGGTTGTGAAATATGTCTGGAGTACTATTCTGCTGCAACAATCTGAGGAGCTGATGGAGACTTGAAAAATGTGACAATACAATAAAATATTACCGCAATTGCTGGATATGTGGAAATAATGTAGAAAGGAGTCTTCGGGTGAAGACTGGTAAAAGGGGATTCCAGTGCTGCAACAAATGGCTATTATTTATGGAGAAAATGTGGGTGAAATGAAAACTCCAGATACATATATGGAGGATAAGCCTTCAATTCATCCTTTTAAAGACAAGAAGTAGGCTCGTCTTTGAAGTGATGAGGTCAAGGTTCATTTTGGAAAACACTTCTCTCTATTGTTCAAATATGTTTGTAAAAGATGGCAGAAATACTTTTTGACATGTATGTTGAAGTATTGTCAGGTTTAGATGCGTCGACAAAAACTTATAAATTTGCTGCTGCTGGAGTTTATCAGCATAATTACCAACTAATTTTTCGGGACTTCAATGACATTGAACACAATCATGAGAAGAAGTTAGGAGTTATCAGGTCATCAGACTCATTTTCCTTGTTTAAACATATGCTATAGTTATTTGGTCTTCGTGATTCAAAACAATAGATGGAAGATTTACTTGTTTTGGTAATAAATCTAAGTCCAAAATTAAATTTTATGTTTATAGAGAAGTAGCTAATTATGACTGCCAGGATATGCAATCATCTGCTTTATATAAATAATATTTTAAATAATATTTTTTAAATGTATTAAAAACAAATATAAAGATAATACATTTTAAAAAGTAGTTTTCCTATATTTTACTTACAAACTTATTTATCAAACAAACATGTATAATCAAGTGTGTGGCGACAATATCGATCAATCCATTAGCGACAATATATTCAAGTGATTGATGATGGTGCAGACTCGAAAAGTCTTAGCTGAATCCCAGCCATTAAGCCATTTAGGTATATCGTTCACATGTTACAACACAACTTTAAACTTGTCTTTCTTTTCATCTCCTCTCATGTTAGTTTTTTGGGGGTCAAATATCAATAACTTGTATTTGCGTATCACTCAGGGATGCCATATAAGATCACCCCTCTCAGTGTTTGGACTGCAATTACATACTTTTATGTCCTCTGACAAATTCTTAACTTTGTGAAGGAGTCGACCAAAATAGTTTCTTGTCAATAGCTTAACCATGACTCTTGAAACTTTCCTTTTAACAACCATTTTCTATCTCTTCTCAAGCTTGTAACAGACTTTCTCTTGCTTTTTTATCCCATTGGAAAAAATACATGTGTTTGTATTCAATCAGAGCTCCTACTTGTAACAGACTTCTTTGTGTATGGTTTACTTGTTTCTTACTATCAATCTATACTATTTAAACACAAGATTTTTTTTTTTGAGATTTCCTTTTGTTTTGTAAGTATTTACAAGTCAATCTCATTTATTAATTATGAGTTAAAATTTAACTGTTATCAGATAATCGTGGACCATATGAATATCCTTTACTTTATAATTCCATTCTTAGTTTATATAAAAAATTAAAAACATACTTAGTTAGCATCACGCTACGGCTCTAACTGATAACCATTTTAGGAACGATGTGAACAAATTATATTTAGCCTGTTTAAATAAATTAGAATTCAAACAGATTTAGTTAGTATCTGCTTGTGTTTTATAAGTATTTACAAGTCAATCTCATTTCACATCGAATATTTCCCAATATTGTTATTCTACTATACAATATGGATAATGTACTATGTATTATTAATGAAATCAATATTTGAGAATGTCACGGAGATAACATAGAGGAAAAAAACAACATCAAACAAACACTCGCGGCTAGGGCTTCGAGGGAGAAAGGCGATGATCCCAAACTGAGATCTCACTTGAGATTTCGGTTCCTTCTCTATCTAGGATGTTCATTGGCGTCATAAATAGAAACGGCTTGTGTTTTTGTGTGGTTTCTATTTCAAAGCTATCCACATCTTCCACCATTACGGATTACATCACCCTCACCTTCTACGGATTTTCCAAAACTTTTGTGCGAATCCTTCACTGTTGGAGCGGATCTTCATCACAGAGCCAACAAGTAGATCATTTTTTTTATCTCTTGGTCATGTTCCTGTTTAGACGATAGAACCGATCTCCTTAGTGTCTTGCTGATCACCTTTCCCGGCTGTAGCTTATCGTCCTACATGATGGCTTCTGATTCTTATGATCAGATAGCTTTGAATCTGTGAAAACCTAACGGCTGGTACCTATGATTTGGTATTACTGTGTCATCACGATCTGATTCCCTGGCATGGGATCTTCAGAGCGATCTATGTCTGCTCACTTGACGAACATCAAAGGAAAAGGAATAATGTATGAGGATGATGATGCGCCTATCAAGCTTACCGAACAAGATGATTCCTTTGTTATCAAGGAGTATTGTATGTCTCTGATTGGAAAGAATCTTAATCCAAAGAAGCAAAACATTGAGAAGTTAATTCAAGCAATGCCAACCCAATGGGGACTACAAGATCGAATCACAGCAAATGATCTTGGAATCGGCAAGTTTTTGTTCAATTTCACATCTGAAGATGATTTGAATTCTGTACTTAGGAAAGGATCTTTTCACTACAACTACTGCATGTTTGTGTTGGTGAGAAGGGAGCGAATTGTTCATGATGACTACCTTTGGATTATTCCATTATGGGTTCAGTTAGTTGGGATGCCGCTACACTTGTGGACGGACATGAACCTAAGGAATATTGGTGGTCGGCTTGGACACGTTGATACAATTGAGCTTACTGAGGGTCGAATGCTGATTGATATTGACTCAAGGATGCCATTAAAACTTTAAAGGATGGTTGAAAGCCCTAACGGAGACAAGATGACCATAGAAATCAAGTATGATATTCTTTTCAAGCATTGTACCATTTGTGGTTTGATGTCCCATGAAAAAGTTATTGTCCAACTGTGGATACTAATAATCGTCAACCAGGGAGAGGAGATGTCTTTGCACTGGTACAGCCTTCTCAAGATCATTCTGATCATCAGTCTTTGTTGAGAGATCAGCACAATTCTGAGCATGATCACATGCCTGATGAACATGTAAAGGGACGCCAGCCATTGTTGGAGTCGTATCGACTGTCGCTGCCAAAGAATAACATGAGTAAAAGCTACGTTCTCGCCTTTCTGAAGCTCAAAGCAATGTAAATAGGGGGAGATATCAAGATTTAGAGTCGTATCCAAGAGGCTACAGAGGATCTTATGATCGCAGTGCTAAACATTCAGATATAATCATCATAGGTCATGATGATAACTCAATAATTAATAATTATGGTGGGTCTCGTTATGGCAATGGGCCTTATGATCAAAGAAACAACTATACATGGTGCGAAAAGTCGAAGGCAAATAAAAATGCAGGCAATGGGTTAGATACAAATGCAGGTCTCATTCAAAAAGAAAATTGAGAGTCCGATCAGATTGTTCCTTATGAACAAGCAATGAGCAGTAACAATCTCGTGTTAACTGGAGATCATTGTCACCGAGACAGAGAGGAACCAGAGAGTGGAGATGGTCGAGAGAGTAAACAATTGGCCAGTGCTATTGTTTCGCTGGCTCTTCGGACATCAACCATGGAGGTAAATGTAACGGTGCGTAGTAAAAATGTTGTTCATTCTCTCACCTTTTCGCCACAAGCTTCTGGAAATGATCTTAGAAATGGTCAGTTTATTGGTGCTTTGGATGACTTGGAAATACATGACACCAAGGAGGATGACATGATGGCTTGTGATTACGCTGAAGATGATCTCCTAGAAAATGAGCTCCTGGACTTAGAAGAAAAATCAAAGTGAAATTTGG